ATAGATAGATAGATAGATAGATAGATAGATAGATAGATAGATAGATACAGGTGTATGTGATCGTAGGGGTTCCAGGTTGCTAAGCTATCACTGTTCAAAAGCTACCTGGTTCAAAATTAACGTATCATGAAATTTGTCCATGAACATAAAATCAATTGTTAATTCTCAACACAAAACAATTGGACTCTCAAAGAGCTAATTTAAGTAGAATAGTTTTTTTTACAGATTAGGCCTTGTCTCTCAGAACTGTCTCCTGTATCTCCATGAGTAAATGCAGTGTAGGTCGTCTGTTCCAACCTTGCTGTATTACCTGAGTGTTTAGATAAGGTGCTGAAAGCTGTGTGTCCAATGCTGGAGCAGTCATGCAGAGTTTAAGGTTGTAAGCCTCTTAAACATGTTTTGACCTTAACCTCTAAGAAGAGGCCTATCAGGGCCATGCACAGATTCAGACCTTTTAGACTCCCTAAGTCTTGGGAATGGTGGTCGTGCTTAGACAAACAGCCCCAAATGGAAAGGATGCATAGTTGTTGTCATTTGGATAGCTACTCACGTTCTTCTCTCCCTGACAATTCCTGTACATTTCCCTTGTCTAGGATGTCAGCAGCTCCCACGCAGATCATTATTGAGTCAAAGGTGTAGCATGTATCCATATCCTACTGGTAAAAGATCTCACTTTTGTCTGAACCTAAGCCCAGAAACTGTCTCTATGTGCCCATCAGAGAATCAGCATACTCTCTTTATAGAGCACCATCCTAGCAACAGGTACAGAAATTGCTAAAGTTGGTTGAAACAAGGCTTATAGGCAGGTAGGCTGTTCTGTGGCTTTTGAAGACCATTTTTTACTTAATGAGATATGATGGGAAATTCTGGGGAAACCTGAAATACAGATTCACAGGAGAGAGAGGCTATCTGCCTTAGCATTACCTAGAAAGCCAACAACTGGGGTTGCAAGGATGGCTCCGTAATTAAGAGAGTGTGCTTCTCTTCCGGAGGATTCAAGTTCAGTCTCCAGAACCCGCAGCTCTTGGCTCACAACCTGTGACTTCAGCTCCAGGAAACCTGATGCCCTCTTCTGGCCCCTTTAGGTACCTTTACTCATATGCATATATCCACAGACAGACACTGACTGACTGACTGACTGACTGAGACACACGTACATACACACACACACACTTAAAAAGTAAAATAAAGTTTAAAAAATTATATATTACTAATATTGTATATTATATATTATCTATGTAAAGAAAAGTAGACAGAATCATAGAGAAATATGTGTTCACAATCTTGGCTACAGAGATTTTAATATCCCTTTCTTTTAATTACCTTAAAATAAATAAATATAAAGTCTGAAAAAATGTATATGTATTTATTTCATGCACATGACTGTTTTGATGGAATGTATGTCTGTGTACCCCGTGCAAGCTTGGTGCCCAGCAAGCAGAAGGCAGAAGAGGATGTCAGGTCCCCTGGACTTGGAGTTATAGAAAGATTGTAAGCCTGGGAAATAAACCCAGGTTCTCTGCAGGAGTAACAAGTACTCCTAACCACTGAACCATCTCTCCAAACCAGAAAAACAAACAAACAAACAAATAAAACAAAGCCAACAACTAACCCATTGCAGAATCTTGAGGGAGAGAGAGGAACTCCTTGCCTATGTAAAGACTGCATTCCTAGCAAATTACCAACTCCCACTGGGAAAGGTCAGAAGAACACTTAGAAGTGTAAATGCAAGGAATCTATGTCAACATGAGTTAGCTGCTGTGTTGTTTTGAGAAGCATGAAAATGAAACTTAGCTGCTCAGCATCCTCAACCCAGAAGAGATCTGCAGCATCTGTTATGCTTCTTGTGAAGATGCCCAGCCTTATCTTAGCTCTTGTACCCACGAATCACCTTGAACCCCAGTCAAGAAGTAAAGCCACTCCCATGAGTCTTCATGCTTGATCTGCGGCCTTGTGATGCCTGTACATCTGTTCATTCCAGGTCCTGAAGCCAACACCAGAAGAAATGAGTCAGGCCCATTGTCTGACATGTGCAAATGAACTTAATATGACCCTATTCTCCTCAGTCTCTAGATCTGAGGAAGAGCCCCTTTCATAAGTGGGACTTAAATGGTCCTTCTGACACTGAATGACCCTGTGTACTCTCCCACATCCGCTCTAACATACTCATCAGCATCCGTCTACCTTTAGCAGGAAGCTGTTTAAGAGCAGGAGATTAAAACCATCTGGAGTCACAACACCTAACATTCATAAAGTCTCTCTTCAAGTATCTTAGAGCATACTAGGAATGGTGTCAATCAAATCCAGTTCTATGGGAAGGTACAAGCTTTCCTACAAGGCTGTGGGGAGGCCAACCATTTCTTAGGAGCTATGCTGGATGCACATATGTTATGCAAGTAACAAAAACTTCTTTCTATGTGCAAAAGTGTTGGATCTTTATAGAGCTTGAGTCTTCATAATTTGTTTGTCACACCATAGAACTGAGCCCTCCCATCCCCCATCTCCATCCCCGCCACACAGACCAAAAGCAGTGCCAGAGGAGTTTTATCCCTGAACTCTTTTCATGTGCACTGCTTTGACCTAACAGCCACTGGGGACAGCAGCCAGGAAACGCTGGTGTGAGGATACGAGGTCTCCCTACCTTGAACGAGACACCCACCTATGCATCCTGTCTCCCTAAGAGATGAAGACTTTGCACAGCTCACTCAGTGCAGAGGCAGTAACTCTAATCTCAAAGCCACCTTGCTGAAGAACATTGCCCCACCTCTGTCCTAGTCACGCTCCTGGAGCCACTCCCCCTGCCAGCAGCCAGGAAATGTGTGGTCCTTTAAACCCAAGTGCTGAGCTCTTCGGTACCCTTAAACTTGTGTCTCTCCTGCCCCCTGGCTTCCACTCCCATTTACAGGAGAATCAAGGAGGTACAGGGAAAAAATATTCTTTCCCTATATCATGTGCAATCTATCTGTTCATTGCCAGAAATGACGGAAATGATGAAGGAAGTGGATTGAAAGAGAGTAAATTAGAACCTAACTA